GGCTTAGGCCTTAAAAGATGAAAAATGCCCAAACCTGGAGCTTCCCAACCTCTCTAATTTGAACTTCAGTGATGAAGTATTTGCAATCATTCCGTTGGGAGAAATCTGATCACTTGTGTCCTATCTATGGAGGAGGGTTGACTGGCGTGTATGATTTCCATGAGAATGCTTGTTTTAGAAAAGAAACAACTTCTAGGTCTTCAGGAGTACAGAGGTTAAGGAAATGCACTCTGCTGCTGGGGATTGGTATTGCCTTGAGGTCACACCCAGACTGATCAGCCTGCTGAGTACCAAGTAGCAAGGGATGAGGGAGCCCAACTTTAGACTGTTTGCCTCATTTGGTAAAACAGGGAATTATCAGGTAACATTTTAGCTAGGCTGGTTTGAGAAAATGTACACAAAACTATTTCCTTTAAGAAGAGTCAACAGCTGGGCTCGGTGGCTCAGCCTGTAATCCCAGCATTTTGGGAGGCTGAGGTGAGTGGACTGCCTGAGCCCGCGGGTTCGAGACCCACGTGGGCAACTTGGTGAGACCTCATCTCTACAATAAATCAAAAAATCACCCGGGCGTGGTAGCGCGCGCCTGTAGTTCCAGCTACTTGGAAGGCTGAGGCAGAAGGATCGCCGGAGCCCAGCAGGTCAAGGCTGCGGTGGCCGGGAGCGGCCACTGCACTCCAATCTGGGCAACAGAGCGAGACTCCAACTCAAAAAAAAAAAAAAAGAATAGTCAATAATTCAGATTGTTGTTCCTCTACTAATTTTAAAAGGAGGGAGCTGAGAACAGGAACAAAATTAGGGAATGACTGATAATGAAGACATTTCTGGGATCTAAGAATGGCAACAAAAAGACACAGGTGGCAGAAGCCACCGGTAAAACCAGTCTTATGTAGCTGTAAACGAAATTATCTAGGCAAAGGTGAGTACTTGGGCATAGCATGTAATTCACATGAGATAAGGTGGTTTAAAAAAGCAGACTCGCTCTTTCATGTTGTCCCAATAACTCTGAGATCCTAAGACACATTCATGTCTATACTTCTGAACCATCTTTCAGAGTGTCAGACAGATGCGAGACAGTAGCCCTCTTGAACGTGCCTGCCCACGGTTCCTGGACACTCTCTACTTGTGTGTGCGACTGTCTAGACAGACCGACACGCCCTGGCTGGCAACACAGCTCTGCCTCTCCTAGCAGACAGTGCCGGGTCTCAGCAGTTCTGGGAAAGATGGAGATTTTGGAAGAATATGTTACATTGACTTCTCAAGAACGGCTGAATCTACATAGCTTCAAAATAAGAACTGCATTTCACGGAAGGCAAATGCTGTTTTCGTGATGGATGTTGCTAAGGGGCCATTCAATATTTTACCAACAGCACCAGCTACCTGTGTACGTGTGTATGTCAGTGTTTGGGGCGGGGGCCTGTTTTGGCAGGTTTGTGTCAGAAGAGTTTTTGTGGCTATGACTGTATTTCCGTGTGTAGGGGAAAGATATTTAGTGTTTACTTTTAGAACCGAGGACTGAAAAAGTCAACAGAAGTCGGGTTATTAAGATCTCATTTGGGGACATTAACTCTTCTCTTTTTCTGAAAAGTGGTCGTGTAAAAGAAAAACGGCGATATAAGAAATGAAATGGCCCTTCGTCATTGCATGGAGATGCCTAAGCCTCTCCTCACCCAACATGCCCTCGGCTCACATCTTAACACCAGTTTGAACTCCCTGCTTGGTATCTGACAGGTGAGCCTTCTGCGTGCAGTCTGATAGATTTGGTTTGCAGATATCACAGGTTTGCACATAATACATAATTATTCTAGGCAGTAAACACCGTAAAATGGAATGCAGAGCAGTTTAGAGAATTTGGTGCCATTATCTTATTCACTCATACAAAACATAAGGAACCCATTCTCTTTCTTGACAGATGGATTTCAGAGGAGACGTTTCGGCTTAGAACAATCATCGTGGCCGCGGCTAAACTCTCGCACTTGGTGGGGTTTAAACGGACTTTTCTTCCAGTCCTCAAAAAGCAGCAACTGGCATTTGCTCGAGCCCTGACTGAGGTGTGGAAAATCTGTCAAGTTTTCTCTGCCGCTTACCCTGACCACAATTATACGGTCCATGTGCAGATTAGCTGCAAAGTCATTCCTCCTCCAGGAGTGACAAGATTTCCCCAAATAAAAAAAGGTACCCACTGTATCCTCAAGTGCCCGTCTGCCTTAGACAGGCAGGGGTGGGGGAGGATGTAAGGACTGTGGGGAGAAATGCCTTCAAAAGAAAGGCATAACAACGGGAAAAGTAGCTGTAACAGAGTGGGGACATGGCAAGAACAGAGAGCAGCATTGTCACGGGCAGAGTAATCCTATGACACACTGCTGTCACTCACGGCCCGGCTCCCTGCCGCGCCAGCCAGACATCAAAGGCTGCCCCATACCATCTTACATGCTCTTTATCGGCTAATCAGCCCATTCTTCCCTAAATAAAGCCCTGTTAAATCCCCTGCTCACAGGGGTATAGTGGTCTTGGTGCCCATCTGCCAGCGAGGGTCAGCTGAGGCAGGAGGGAGCGGGCTGCTCTCTCCCTAGCGGCTTCTCAAGGTAAGGACAATGCTGTTTCCAGCTCCCCCTCCTCAGCACCTCCCGCTCGGCTTTCCAGGATCTGGTAGGAGCTGAGGGCACCGGTCTGCAGAGCTGCTATCTGGATTAACACTTGCTAATGAAATTTCCAGTCATAAAGGTAGATCATCTGCTAACCAGGAAATGTTGGGACTGCATTTATTTTCAGAGAGAGAAATAAACAAAGATGGGTTTCTTAACAGTAATCCAGGGGCAGGGCTACTCCTACCTTCTCAAAGTGTCAACGTTTTAGGGATGGTGACAAAATGCTCAGGCTTCCGATGATGAGGCCACTGTCAGATGTGACTGGGAGGGCCGCTGGTTTCACCACACACACAGAAGCAAAGCCAGCATGCACAGACACCAGCGACAGCAAATCCGCAGGCAGGACCCCAACTCTTGAGACCCTGCCTGAAATCCTGGCCAGCCACGTGTGCCTGGAGTAGAACCGAGGCGTCTTCACCCCATGGGAAAAGGACTCGACCTTTCCCCAGGGTGGGCAGCCTGGGGAAAACCAGAGCTGGGGGTGCCCACTCTCCCCCAGGCACGGGAGAAGCTGTTTACATCTGCCACGCAGCACGACTGGTGCACTGTCCTGTGTGAGTTATTAATATCAGAAAAAAAGCCAAGCATCTTAAAAAAACCCAAACGGGGACTAGAGTTAGGCAACACTGTGTCCGTCACAAGAGCCTGTGGTGCCAAGTCCCCAGCCAGGACAGGTTGGATATCTCTGAATCTTAACTCACCTGCTTTCTAGCTCTCCAGTGTAAGGAGCTTCACCTGTAAGGTCCTGTGTGGTTATACACACCACCTGCTTTTGACTCTCAAAATGGTCTTGTGAAGTAACAAAAATCATGAATTTTCTTCTCCCTTCTGTAGTTGAGGAGGCTCTGAGTCATTAAGAAAAGAAATGGCCAGGCTCGGTGGCTCAGCCTGTAATCCCGCGCCTTTGGGAGGCTGAGGTGAG